TACATAGAAATATATAGGAACATCTTTGAAAATCTTCTTCTCAAGAAGCACGGTGCCTGAAAAGCTGAGACTTATGTAGAAACATCCTGGGGTAGTGTAGATTCTAAATTTCTCAAATCAAGACCCCCGGGGATTGGGCGGGGCCACAATGGGGAATCAAAGTTTTACATAGAAATATATAGGAACATCTTTGAAAATCTTCTTCTCAAGAACCACTCTGCCAGAAAAGCTGAAACTTATGTGGAAGCATCCTGGGGTAGTGTAGATTCTAAATTGTTCAAATCATAACCCCCCGGGGATTGGGCGGGGCCACAATGGGGAATCAAAGTTTTTCATAGAAATATAAAGGGAAAATCTTTGAAAATCTTCTTCTCAAGAACCACTGTGTCAGAAAAGCTGAAACTTATGTGGAAGTATCCTGGGGTAGTGTAGATTCTAAATTGTTCAAATCATAACCCCGGGGATTGGGCGGGGCCACAATGGGGAATCAAATTTTTTCATAGAAATATATAGGAAAAATCTTTAAAAATCTTCTTCTCAAGAACCACTGTGCCTGAAAAGCTGAAACTTATGTGGAGACATCCTGGGGTAATGTAGATTCTAAATTGATTTTAGATTTTAAATTTTCAAATCAAGATCCCCGGGGATTGGGCGGGGCCATGATAGGGATTCAAAGTTTTACATAGAAATATATAGGAAAAATCTGTGTAGATTTCAAATTGTCTAAATTATGATCAGTGGGGTAGGGTGGGGTCACAATATGTATTACAAGGGGTAAATCTAGTAAAGTACAGAATTGTCAAAGCTTCTCAGGTGAGCGATGTGGCCCATGGGCCTCTTGTTTTAATGTCAATATCTATAAAGGAGTCTAACCCATTGTCCCGCAGTAATAATTTTTTCATCCAAACTAGTTTTAAGGACATAATGAACTCTCTTACACTAATCATCTTAAAGCCCCCTTCTTTGTAATTCATTACACAAATTTTTCTTTTTAGTCTTGAAATATTAGTTCCCATTACAAAGGTATAAAATAGATTTTCTAATTCTTTCATTTGAATTTCAGAGGGACTTGGGAGAGATGCAAAAACATGATTTAAGGTTGGCAATAAGAGTTTTTATAACTGTTAGACGACCCAGAGGAGTTAAATTTCTCTTGTTCCAGTGTTGCATTAATTTTTTTATATTACTTATTTTTGATGCATAATTAAGCATAAATATATTTTTAATATCTGTGTCAAAATCAATGCCTAATAGTTTAAAAGTTACTTTTCCCCACTCTAACATATGATCTGTACTTAAGGTATCCATGCTGCCTTTTTTTTGACCCAATCCAGACTACTTGAGTTTTACTGTAATTTATATGCAGGCCTGACATATTCGCAAATCTTTTAAGAGTAGTGAGACTTGTTTGGAGTGATCTTTCACTTCCATCTAATATTAAAGATGTATCATCTGCCAACATGCTTAACTTTTTTTCAGTATTCATAAACTTTATCCCCTTTATATTCTTATTGTTACGAATGCTTATTGCAAGGATCTCTGCACAAATGAGAAATAGATATGGAGACAAGGGGTCTCCTTGACGACAGCCTCTGTGTAGGTTAAAAGATTGTGATAAATTTCCTCCTTGATTAATAGAAGCTATAATATTTGTGTAAAAAATATCAACCCATTTTCTAATAGAATTGCTAAAATTAAAAAAATTAAGAGATTTCTGCATAAAAGACCAAGACAAGGAATCAAAAGCTTTTTCAAAGTCCACCAGAAGCAAGAGTCCTGGTATACTTTCTTCTTCTGTATATTGCATGATATCATATATAAGTCTTATATTTTCAGAAATCAGTTTGATCTGGATGGATAATTTTATCGAGATATTTTTTCATTCTATTAGCAATTGAGCCTGATGCAATTTTATAAACAGTATTAAGCAGCGAAATAGGTCTCCAGTTTTTTAGATATTGTCTGGGTTTATCACCTTTTGGTATACAGGTTATTATACCATGTCTTTGTGTAATACTTAGCGTCTTATTTTCATAGGCATAATTAATGGACCTTACTACAAAAATACCAATGGACTTCCAAAATACCTTAAAAAACTCTGATGTAAATCCATCTGAACCTGGCGATTTATTTGATTTCATATTGCGGAGCGTTTCTGAAGCTTCATTTAATGTTATTTTACCTTCTGTCTCCAAGGACTCTAATTTTGAAAGTTTAGCAATGTTTGGAATATTTAATTCAACATCAAGATCATTGATATCAATTAATTGAATTGTCAATGTCTCTGTATAAGTATTCATAGTATTTTTTAGCTTCATTCAAAATCTCAGCCTGCTTATAAAGTATGTTACCATTTTCTAATTCTTTTTTTGGAATGATCTTGCTTGTGAAATTTCTATTCTCTAAGTTACAAAAATATTTTGACGGTTTTTCCCCTTCTTCTACCCATCTTGCCCTAGATCTTATTAAAACACCCCTCATCTTTTGTTTTCGTATATCTTCTAATTCCTTATTTTTTTCGTCTAAGAGTTCAACATTGTCAGCAATAGTATGTATTGTTTCTTCAAGATATTTTATTTTTTCTACAAGTTTTTCTTCTTTTTGTTTGGTTAGTTTCTTTTTGTATGAGGAATAGGAAATACATTTTCCTCTTATTTCCATGAGAAGGGTTTCTAAAAACAATTGATCATTTATCGTAAAGACTAATTCTTCATCATTAACTTGTTGTAAGTTTTCCATTAAATATATAGGTACAGCATACTGTTTCTTAACATTATTAATAACTTCATTTATAGTATTAAGAAATTTCTCATCGCTAAGAAGGGAATTATTAAATTTCCAAAGACCTTTACCTTTTTTTAAAATCATTAAAAGCTAAAGATAAACTAATCATGGAATGATCAGACCTATAACATGTTTCAATTGTACATCCTACTGCACTTGGCAATAAATTTTCTGAGATCAGAAAGAAATCAAGCCTGCTTTGTTTTAATGGTTTTTGTTTTCCTCCATGTGTATCTTGGAGTGTCTGGATGAAATTGTCTATATATATCGATATAACCCCCATCTTCCATAAAGTCAAGGACCTTTTGCCTTGCGTTTGGATTATTTATATATTTGTAATTATAATACATGCAATAAATATCTGGGTTCAATACAAGGTTGAAATCACCACATACAATGACATTATCACAGTTAAAATCATCTATACAAGTTTGTATGTTTTCATAGAAGTCTGGATTATCATTATTTGGGCCATAAATATTACAAAGAAGCAGCTTTTTTTCCTCTGTTTTAAATTCTAGAAAAAAGTAATTTCCGTCAGCATCCCCTTTTTGTTTTAATGTCTGTATATCAAAGTTATTATTAATAAGAATAGCTACTCCCCTCGAATTTGAGGAAAATGAGCTGAAATAGCAATCAAAACCCCATAAATTTTTTAACATCATTCTCAGAGTTGGGAGTAAAATGAGTGTCTTGTAAACAGTACATATTATAATTCAATCCTTTTAAAAAATTAAAAACATCTCTACGTTTGTTGATATCCCCTAAACCCTGACAATTAACCGATAAAATTTTTAAGTTCATCATTAAGTTTAACTGTTATCAAGTTAACATTACCTTTGAGAGAGTGGAGCCATTGTACTTCGAGAGAAGGTGATAGAGAAAGGAGAGAAATAGAGAGGAAAGCATAGGAAAGAGGAAAGAGAAAAGAAACGTGTAAAAAACACATTTTCAGTTCAAAAATGGTTGGTTAAGTCCCTAAAGCCTTTCACATAATCAATGTTCTGCGTTGTAATTTGTAGTAAAACGATACCGGAACAGTGTCTACGAATACTAGTATAGAGAGTTCTGAACGTGGCAAAGAGATATCCGGAATAGTGTTCTGTTCATTTTTCACTTTCTTCTATCTTTTCATCGATATCGTCTAGGATGTCAAATATAACCCTCTGTTTGTTGTTCGTTAATTCACCATAGACGCTGCCGTTGAAATACCATGCGTTATTAATCCTGCGATGTTTTTTCAGGCGTTCGATTAGTATAGCATTCTGCCTTGTAACGTCGTCTGAGAGCCAGAGTTCTCCGTTCGTCTTGGTCTTAATGACAGATCTTTTACACATTACTGCACTCTTCGCGCCGTTGTTTTTCAGTTTAACTAGAATCGGTTTAGGTGTATTAAGCTTACCCGGGATTATATGGATTGCAATGACATCGCTTTTTAGGATCCGCACCCCACATTCTCTTTGAATCACCTGATTAACAACTTCCATTACATTTTCCCCCTGTGTCTGAGGAACACCATTGAGCTTGAAGGAGTTTTTCCTAGAATACTGTTCGTTGCGATTTGCAGCAACATAGGCATCACGGGCAAAATAATTTGTATCTTCCGATTCTAATTCAAGCTGTGTTATCCTTTGATTCAATTTTTCGATCGTATCATTTTGTTTATCGATAACCTTCTGCATTGTCTCTTTGTTTAATTTAATTACTTCGTTGATTTCTTCCATTTTCTTTTCAATGATGTCAGTAACAACATTTTTAACAGTATTTTCGACAATTAATGCTAGGTCTTTTCTTGTCACAAGGTCACTCTTCAGTCGACGAATTTCGTCCATAATTGACTGTAACTCATAACTTAGGGTCTCTGATGAATTGATACTGCTTTCAGATACACTACCCTCAGATTTATTATTTGCTTTTCTAGGTGGCATTTTCAGTCTCTGGATATGAACATAAACATAAAATAGCACAGTCACTACCCGACGTTTAAATGGCACAAGAATAGAAGCTAAACACTACTCACGAACACCTCACGAAACACACGTGTATGCGGTACAGGATACTAATGGATCTTGATAGAATCCAAGTTTTCTGCATGAATTTTATCACAAAAAGGCAGAAAAATAACACCAAGGTGGTTATACAGCAGTCATACAACAATCACATATTAAATAATCCACTATGGACTGACTTAAAGGCCTTAGAACACGGACCCCTGTTCAAGCGGCCACCTCCACTGACGCCATTTTTAAACTCCCACGTCCAATTTCTTGAACTAGATCGAGCATTGAACAAGGTGGGCCATATAAAACAATGTTAAACAGACCCTTAAAGTCAACTCCCATACCCATTGCATTTGTGGATATGATGATCCTCAGTAGGCTTTGCTCATCCCTGATAGATAACAATATTCTTTCCTTTAAAGAACTCTCCGTCTCAGAGTGAAACATACCAATGAATGACTCAAATTCTTTGGACACATCATCATTTATGTAGTCATAGATCTTCGCTACATCACTAATGGACTTACAGTATATAAGTGTTTTTGGAAACAAAGCTCTAAGTTCCATGAGACCATCCACTAACCATGTCCATGCCATATCAATGTCACCGGGAACTTTTTTAACACTATACTTGATGTTCCTCTTGTCAGGGAATTTATACACGTATGTGTGATGATTCAAGGCTAAGGCTTTGATGACTCCTCTCTGTATTTTCTGTGTACATGTCGCACTCAGAGCCATCAAAGGAGCACTAGGGAACAGGGATCTAAGTTCTCCCAGCTCACCAAACCACCGTCGGAATGCTTTCTTCCCATTTTGTGCATCATCATCTCCCCTAAAATATTTCAAGAAAATTGTTAGGGAAGATTTCTTCTTCTATTTCTCAATATTAAGAAGGTAACTCAGAGTTATTTAAATTTTATGAAAAGCGTATTGGAACTGTTTCTACTATATAAATATAAAACATTCCCAAACATCAATGAAGGGCTTTAAGTTCAAAGCTTAACTTAGCATGCAGGGCTTTTGAGCAGTGAGGAATCTTGAGCGTGTCAACTTCACGACTTGCAATAACCGGAATTTCCTCAAAGTGTTAGTGACGAGTTAGTCCTCGTCTCCCTTATTTCATTGTTTTTGAATATATATAATTACAAAATAATATTAAAGGTCATATACCTTTATATGCCGCTGTCAAGCCTTTAATTGTATTTGTTCTATCCACTTGGTCCCTCATTAAAGACACAAGCGGGCAGCACACCAGAACCATGCCGGTACGTCCCATCTCCTTCTGAACAAGCGGGAGAAGTTGAAAAGGAATGATTTGCCAAACCCTGTTGGTAAAACTGCCATACAGTCCCTCTTTTCCACAAGGCTTTGCAATATTTCCACCTGTTCGCTCTTTAATTTAATATCCAATTCTCTCTCAACTTTACGTATTGGCGCAGCCATTTTGCTTGTGTAAGCTAGAAGCTGTATAAAACACTCTTACTCATTGGTCGAATGATGACGTCACATACCAATTTTCATTGGCTGTATATTTTTTTCAAAAGGTCATGCTGAGGTGACCCCTAATGCGCAGTTGTTAGATCCTTTGTGTAGCGATCTTAAGTGAGCGGATCAAAGGATCTAATTTTAATTAGATTGTTTACTACGGCACATGAAGCAGCAAAGGTAACTTATTAAGTATGGAAAACTAAGTTAGAATATTAATTCTTTTTATCTAGTTAAAAGCAGCAGCGGTTTTCCGGAAAAAGCAGACATAGTGGAGGGAAAATCAAGCAAGTGTCTTTAACCAAAATCATAAACTCTTATTTATTTTGTTTTGAGTGTTTTATATATTTTCAGAAGTTCAGTTGCAGTGGAGCCAAGCGGAGACATTGGCTCTGCTCTCAGAGATACAAGTAAGAAAGGAGGATTTTGACAATCCAATTGTTAGGAAGTTTGAGATTTGGGGGAAGGTTGGGGAGGAGATTAGCGCTGCTGGATACAACAAATCACCCACTGCATGCGAAAAGAAGTGGAACAACTTAAAAATTCGGTATACTCAGTATTATGATTATTTAAGATATAGGTTGTTGAAAGTCTAGATGCAATTACATGTACACTGGGCATGTATATTCACTATATTGAGGCATTCATTATAAACATTAATGATTATGGTCATAATTCATTTTACATTTACATATATAAAGACAATAACTATAAACATAATATCATTTTTGAAATATAACTACATGTATTTTGATGGTTACACATGCTATCTAAGTGATCAATAGTGAAGTTTTAATAACATTTTGTCACTATGAAGAACATAACACTTCTTTTGGATTTCATAGATTTAGGTTCACTGTTTTGAGGATCCTGCCTAAATGATAGTTATTTTTTTAAATATTGTATATTAAATTCTTTATATTTAAGTTTTTTTTCAGAGTCATTTGATTGCTTAGATGATATTTTTAAAAAAGTCATCCCAGGAAGGAAGATATTGTTTTTTTAATTTATGTTGAATGGGAAAATATCTCATGCAGATCCACGTTTTCATTATACATATAATACTAATATAGCTTAAAAATCCAAGTAGGTACTGAAGGATAGTCAGTGACATTGGTTCGATTCCCATCACTACCCAAATGATTGTAATCCTGGTGATGGTTTCTCTTTTTTTCCTTTTAAGATTTTCTGGTGGTGGAACATTGATTTTAAAGTTACTTCATGTATTGGCATTTAAATGAAAATGAACAAAAGAAAGTTCAATCAATGTCTATAAATATGAATCAAGATTTCTTTGCTAAAGTTGTGCATACAGAGATAATTTTAAAAAGGAACATAATATTAAGGTTTCAATTAAAGCATGTAAAAGCAAGAACAATTAAATACAGTTATGCAAATTTAACCCAATGTTTATAACTTTATATGTATATGTATATATACATGTATACTAAGCTATATATGCAGTTTTAAAAGAAATTTTTGAAATGCTGTAAAGTGACTCTAACTCCTTATTTGTTATCATAAAAGTTATCGTGTTTTAGCTACAGGTCTATCAAGGACAGCATGTGGAAATATGGGGCAGGCAGGACAACCTGGGTTTACTTCGACAAAATGAATGAAATTCTCCACCAGGACAGATCTACCGAACCTGCGGCTACCAGCAGTTCATGTAAACACTTTGTTTTATCATTTTGTCAAGGATTTAATTGTTTTTCCTACTGTTTTACAGAGTTCTTTAGACATTATAAAATTTGATTATGTGACCAAGAGTCGTAAACAAAGTGTAGGGGAACCATGCTGATAAATGGCCTCCACAGAATAAGGTTTTGCAATTTACCGGTTACTTCATAATGGACCAAGTTCCTTTACACATTTAGGCAAATGCAAGAGGCAGTGCATGTTTAGTGTCATGTATCTTTCTTCATACATTGAACTGTATGTGTACAAAGTATGTGTACAAAGTATGAAAGCAATACCTTACTTTTCTCCAAATCTTCAGGTGTAATAGTATGTAGACAAAAGAGGCAGAGTGATGAAATCATTTTTTTCTTCGAGGATGTCACATTGAATTGAAAGAGAATGAAGAGCCATGTTCTCAGTTCTGGCTATTTCCAATATTTATTGTGATTCAATATTGTTCTAGGAACTCTATGTATGTACGATGGTTTTTTGATTCAGTTCAGGCATTAATCAAAAACAGATATGTTGGATGAAATTGAAAATATGTCTTTTCTGTTACTTCCACTTGTCCAAGAGTTTATCAACACTTTTGTAACACCAAGTAACACTCTAATCAATGCTGGAAAACTTGACAAAGTAACAATGCCATATTAAAAAAGATGGCCCCTTTATTCCTTACACAACATTTCTTCTGTTTCCAGCTTCAACAGCATCACTAGCGCATTTATCTGCTGTTCTCTTACTAGGATGTGGCTTAGAGTGTTCACAGTACCCCTTAAGCAGTCATAAAGGTTTCTCCTGAATGCAGAAATCGTATAGCTATACGGTCAATTAAACTGGTTGCAATTAATGACTAAGCTCTTTGCTGGTAAATCAGCAATACCACAAATCAAATCTAAGACTTCCAAAAACCTAGAATCTTATTAAGATGAATGTAATGAAAATTGTTTTATAAAAAATCATTTTCAAGCTTTATATTGATGCATTTCAACTTAAATATATATTTTCCGAGTTATCCTTCCTCTCTGAGGAAAAAAAAGAAATGGCGGCCTACATGTCCGCACGACGCAGTAGATGGTCTCAAGGAACGAACGAAATGCGGGACTTCCAAGGCCTCGAACAAGGTGAAATCTTTATAGATGAGAAGGAAGACGATAGTAGTTCACATGAGGAGCTTTCAAAAGAAGAAGGAACAGAGGATAACGAAATCAGTGAGTTAACACAAATGTCTGAACACGATGAGAACAATAGTCAAACTTGCCATGATTATGAATTGCAGCAATCAGACATACAAAAATTAAACACAGAGCTGGAAAATCTTCCCCCAAAAAGATATATTGAAAAGTTATTGAACCGGACTAATAACAATGAGTTTGCAATTGCAACATACAGAAATGCACTGCATGATGGAACTAGGTCAATAGAGGGGTTCCCACAGGGTACACTTATAAAAAGAAAGTCTCAAGATAAATAAAACAAATCTGATATCCCAGCAAAAATCACAAATCAAAAATGGGACAGTATAGGCGAATTTCATTATCAAACATATGAAAATCAAATTGCCTTTTTAGATTCCGAAAACAGAAAATTGATGAGGATGTCCCAAAATCAGCAAAATCAAATAAATGAAATAAAATACAGCAATTCAAACAAGGCGTCACAACCCCTTTCTGAACCTCTCGATTACATTCAAATGACTAACGGAACCAATTCTGACAATTATTTCAGAAGCGCCCCACATTGCACACTGTTGATGTTTTTTGTACGGTTAGCGCCGGTAATGGCAGCTCCCATAGCAGTGCTCACTTCAGGAGTGATTTATGTGTATACTACGCCAAATTTTCAACTAAGGATTAGTGAAGTGCAAATACTGTGATATTTGTGAATGTATTTTAGTATTATTATTATTACATTTTCTAGCTACAAGCATCATACCACTGTTAAATTCCTAGTCGGTATAAGTCCATCTGGAGTAATCACTTTTGTTTCTGATGCATGGCCAGGAAAAACTTCAGACCGTCAGCTAACTGAGGAATGTGGCCTACTTCCGCTTCTTGAGCCAAATGACAGTGTAATGGCAGACAAAGGATTCACCATAGCTGACTTACTTGAAAAAAGACAATGTTCTTTAAACATTCCGCCATTCCGAGGTATTAAATAGAACGCTAAGTTGTAAATAAAATCTTATATTTACCCTAATCCCATATCTTATGTTAATCACCCCCTCCCAGTCGATCAACTCAGCATATATTTGTTTGTTTTTTGTTTATATTTTTTTAGATAAATTAGGAAAACATTGCAAATATGGTGATTAGCTTAAAAAAATTCATAAATACTGTATTCTAGGCCCTTCTAATCAGTTTTCGACAGATAAAGTCTTCAAGACCCAGGAGATTGCTCAACTACGGATCCATGTTGAAAGAAGCATTGGACGTGTGAAGAACTTTCACGTATTAGAATAGAAGGAGTAATCCCCCTAACAATGGTCAACTTCATTACAAAGATATTTCAAGTATGCTGTTGGCTGACCAACCTAGATTATCCCCTTGTTGATGGGAAAAAGATTTCCACTGATGAATCAAAACTCTTTAGTCGCCCGCGTGGCGCAGTGGTTAGAGCGTCTGCTCTAGAGTCGCGAAGTAAAGAGTCAATCCTTACGTCGCGGGTTCGAATCCCACTGCGGGACGTGGAGACCGGTCCTTCGGATGAGACCGTATAAACCGAGGCCCCGTGTCGCAGTAGATGTTGGCAAAAAGATCCCTCACTGCTCAAAGGCCCTGAGTGCCGAGCATAGGACAAAATTTGTAGCCCTCCACCGGCAAGTGGTGGCGTCTCCATATGAGTGAAAAATTCTCGAGAGGGACGTTAAACAATATACAATCAATCAATCAAAACTCTTTAAGTATGATATCTTAATTCTTGTTTTGATTTTAATGAATTCACACCTTAATGCATATTATTCATAATTATGTACTTAAAGCTGAAAGTGACATGTAAATACTAGTAGGCATACAACATTGTCAATATCATGCACACAATATCAAAACCACTTAACAGGACCTCTCTTCTAGCAGTTCATAACACATCGCTATGCATCATTAGACATACATGTATTTCAAGACTTGTACAATAATGGATAAATTTGATCCATGTAAAATTTCAATAACTTTGGCATCAAAGAGTAAACAAATTAATTGCTCGTCAAAAAGAATTCGTTCTATAAAGATGTTGTTTGCCATTGCTGCTGTCCACACAACAAAATCCACCCAAGGTACTCC